ATTTATTTTATATAAAGATGGCACAAGCGCACTCTTCAGGCAGAACGTTCTCAAAATGAACATTTTCTGTGTTTATCAGCGGACTTTGGAGTGTCTGCCAAGAACACAAAGACCATCCAGCGAAGAGACTCTTTCATTGGAACGCCTTACTGGCAAGTTAGAGTTTTATGAAATGAAGCTACTTGTACGTACACACATTGACATTGCTGACACGTTGATATCACTCTCTTTCATTCAGGATGGCCCCAGAGGTTGTAATGTGCGAGACGTCTAAGGACAGGCCGTATGACTATAAGGCTGATATTTGGTCTCTAGGAGTCACTCTGATCGAGCTGGCCCAGATCGAACCGCCCAACCATGAGATGAACCCAATGAGAGTTCTGCTCAAGATCGCCAAAGCTGATCCACCAGCTCTCCAGCAGCCTTCAAAATGGTACAAAACCAAGTGATTTGTGTATGAAATATCTGTGTGAATATCACACAAACATTTGTTTTTTTGACATTTTTATTTATTTTATTTTTTTATATATTACAATTTTTGGTAACACTTTACTGAAATCTATTCTATATATATAATGCATTATGAAAATAGTTTTAATGCATTAATTATGCCTTGTAATGTGCTTTACAGTGCATTGTATGAATAATTGTAACCACACAGTTATAATACATTATAATATTTATCTCTTCAGTGTTACAACTTTAGAAAGTATAATGCATTAAAAATATGACAAACAAGTCTTTACATATTAGAATGCATATTAAATTTGATTAAATTTATATAATAGAAAAGATATAATGCATTACTATGTACAGTACAGTATGAATACCTTTATAATGAATTATACATGGAGCCTTTAAGTAAAGTGATACCAAATTTTTTTTTTTATTATTTTACTGAGCCAATAGGCTTCAAAATGGTATGAGGCAAAAGGTAATTTATGTTTAAAAAATAATAATAATAATAATCATCATCATCATTTTTAGTATATGTAAAATTGTTGTTGTTTTTTTATTATTAAAGACTTTATTTTTGAATTCCTCTTTTATTTTTTCATTGTATTTTACCTCATTTTAATATAAAAAAAAATATTAAATTATTTGCGTTTTCAAAGATTAACTGTGAGCTATTAATGACAGCAACAATTATCTAAATGTAAAAATAGGGGATATGAGTCTGCACAATTAAATATACAGTAAATTAAAATAAAATTAATTTAAAAATTGTGTATCATTTAATATTATTTTAAAAATTGTGTGTGTATTTACACTATTGATAAAAGTCACTATCGGAAACACATAACTAAATTGGCTTCTAATGATCTCAAAAACCCTTTTCTCTCAAGGCTTATGCTTAAATGCCTGAAATTAGTTTTGTAGACAAATATAATTATGCCGTATCATTTTTATGCAGTATTTTTTATTTATTATATGCATTTATTTATTTATTTACAAATTTATTTATTAAAAATCTTTTCACAATATAACACCTATACTTCCATTTAGTTTATTTAGTTGTAATGACTAATCTCATGATCCGTCTGCAGGTCTCCTGAGTTTAATGACTTCCTGAAACACGCGCTAGATAAGAATGTGGACAACAGGTGGAGCACAGCACAGCTACTTCAGGTGAACTGACCTGTCCCACATTTATTCCAGCATTTGAAATCTGAGACCACATCCACACAACCTTGACCTAAGCTGAGCTAGTATTGCAGCAGCCTCTCAGTGTAAAAGCCCCTTGTTTACTATCACCCTGGTCTGCTGCTCGTCCAGGTGGCCTTTCTTGCCCCATGAATCAGCAGCTGTTCATTTATAAGTTTGTCTGTGTCAGGCACTTTCTGCACCAGACTTCATCCTAAGAATTGACGTCAGCAAAGGAGATTTTCTTTCCGAGGCTTTAAGTAGGCCGGCCTGACACTGACTGCGAACAGATACACACACGCTCAGTTACGAAACGTTGCAGGTAGAGGCTGAATGGGGATGAAAACACAGAGCTCGAGTTTTCCTCCAATTAAGGTGATAATATCAAAGAAGCTGCACATTCTCAGACCAGCTATAGACTGTCTGCAGCAGGTCTCAAAACCAAGAAAGGTAAGAAATGGAGACTAGGATCCTTATGGGACATTGATTTTGTTGTGCTTGTTGTCCTCTTGTCTGGTTCAGGCTTCCTGTTTGGCCTGTCTTTTGACAACGCAATAAATCTTAATAGTCTTAAATTAGGCCTTATTTTCTTAATGCCAGATAGTGATGTACAGTATATCAGTACCATATTAGTTTTTTTATCAGACAATATTTGGCAAATTTTTTTATTTTATTGGCTATTTAATTGTGGAGGCTCATTACACACATATTTTTACAATTAGATTTGACTGTCATGAAGTACATTTTTGAAAACACTAATAATTTAATTGCACTATTTATTATTTTAATTCATTTTTATTATTCTTGGCCACCAGTTCTTCAACAGGCTTCAAAAGTATATGAGATGAAGGCTGATTTATGTCAAATGTATTTTTGTAAATATGGTAGTGTTATTTTACTCATAAGGCAGTTAATTCTTAATTCCTTCCTATATTTGTTTTTTCCTTCCTATATGATTTTTACTTTATTTTCTCATTGTTTTATTTTATTTTACACATTTAACTGAATTTGTTTCTCAAGATCTTTGAAAACACTAATATTTTAATAGTACTTTTAAGTGTAATCTTTAGCCAATCTCAAAATGCATATTTATTTTTCATTTTCTACAATAGAATTATGTGATTTCACTTGTAGCATTTTTAATGTTTGATTAAATTTTTTGTTTCATAATAAATATATTTAGAGAATATTGTACAGCTTTAGTACAATTTTAATATTTACTATAACATAAAAAAATAATTAATTATCAGCTTATCAGACAGAATTGTTATATATTATATTATAATATATCATTTATATTATATATTTTAGTTATATATGTTATGTGTGTGTGTGTGTTGTGTGTGTATATATATATATATATATATATATATAT